AGGAAGGTTTGTATACTTGAAGATCGAGTCCCCCTGTTGGATCGTGGGGCCTTTTCGAGAGTCAGTTGCCAGGCCAATGGTAGGGCCTCTCTAAGTTGGTTCAGCCTACCCTCCACATTTTTGGCATACCTCAACTGTTGTTTGGGATACAGTCCTCCACCCCCCTCTCTCTATATCCCATAGGTCTCCTATCCTGTAGAGACCTTTTCTGACCCATGTGAGCCAAGAGGAGTTCGTGTGTAGTGAGAAGGGGTTGCCCAACTCATCCAAGATGTGGGGGTTACCAAATACGCGTTGCCAGGTCTGCTTTGGTCCACACCGTCTCCACAGTTTAAGCATGTAAAGCCACAACAGATCGTAAGATATGTCTGCTTTGGCTGCTTGAGCTGAGTTGCCGTCCGGTCGTTGCTGCGTTGGGGAGGGTATTGACCAGTGAGCATTGGTCAGCCATCGGGAAGGGGTGGATCCGGTTGGGGGCATCGGGAAGGGGTGGATCCGGTTGGGGGCTGCCGTCTCCGGGGCCAGGTTGCTAATCTACAGACAGCCCAGCAGTGCCACGGGTTGTTATTGTCTGTCAGGAGTCTGACCAGCACCTCAAAGATAAGGGCATCACTCTCTCTTTGTGAGGTGAGTAACCCTAGTCCCCTTTGCTCCTTGGCTATGTTAGTATATCCCATTTGACCTGGTTGATGCAGCGTTGGGCCCTGGTATCGTTTCTCCAGAGGGAGGTTATTTTCGACGAATTTAACTACACTGCCACACTGCCAGTTTGTACCAAATTTAACCAGGGGTGTTATTTTCGGTTTGACCCTAGTCCATTAAGCCTGATATATTGTTTCGGTTTGAGAGGCCACACTGCCAGTTTGTACCAAATTTAACCAGGGGTGTTATTTTCGACGAATTTTGCACCAAACTGCACTGAAACTGTCATATTGTGCTGATTTTTTGCTTTTTTTCTTGTTTTTCTTTTTGTGTGATATATATGTGCTTTAGGGTACGTCATGTGTGCGGTTTTGACATGTTTGGATCAATAATGAAAAAGTTGGCATTTTGTTGGATTCGTTGGACGCTTCATTTTGACTCGGACAGTGTCTTTGTGTTAGGGTTTCATAGTGTTTTTTTGTTTTGTTTTTCGTTTTTTTTGGCCTGTTTCCTTTTTTGATGTTTGCACAATGGTTTCATATCGTTTGTTTTTCAAATTTTTGATGAAATTTGCACCGCAATTGCCAACGAAAGCGGCGAATATTTGGGCCCCCGTTAACCGTCTCTCAATTGCTGCCAGCACATCATTATTGATTTGGAGTGCTCTCCCTACTAAGGACGTGTGCAGGCCCCTCCCAGCGGCCCGGGCGGTCTACTGCCAGGTCCCCCAGCATATCACCATATCCCCATGGTCTGGCGGGGCGCCAAGCGCTGTCAGTCTCACTCTCAGATTCACAGGGCTGTGTCCTTTGCTGCCCATGAGACCTGTGGCTCTAGTGGTGGGCCAATGTCCTGCGGGTGCAACCACCACCCCTCCGTTTTGGCACCCCAACGAACTTTCATGTCAGCTGCCAGTGAACACAGGTGAACGACTTGTGTCCAAGCACGGAGACTTTGATTAGCACCATAAGGTCATTCGCGAACAACGATGTCATCCGCACGAGGTGCTCTGGCAGCTCTGGAATGGGGATGCTGTGGGTGGGCTCTAATAAGTGCGGCCAACGCCTTCATGAGTATAACAAAGAGCAGGGGCGCAATGTGGTCCCCTTGCCTTACCGACCTCTGAAGGAGGATCAGAGCAGCCAAAGTGGCCGTTCAGCGTGATATTTGTTGACGCTGACCTGTGTAGGAGCTGCACCTACACGTGCGATGCCGATCATGGACGGCATTGCAACAGGATCACGAGGCACGACACCCACCGTTGAAGAAGACGACTGAGCGGGCAATGAAGAAAACGCAGCAGATCATAAGTATGACATGTACACACCCCACCAAGCGTTAGCTCCCTGATCACTACTGCATGGCTGGCCTTTGTCGGTCGACCGCCCAAAATTTGAATCTTGAAATCCACCCGTTTCAAAACTCAGGGTGGGTTCAGAGGAGGGCCTTCTGGTCCCGGCCACTGACGACCACCGTGCAATGAGAGGGGCATGTCTGCATGGCCAACCAAGTTCACAAAATGATCCCTCCGATCTGAACCACACCCCCTGGCATCAGATGTCGTCGGAGGACGTGGCCCCCGCCCCCCTACTCGACTGGGAGCCGGTTTCCGAAAAGCAGTTGGCAGAGTTGGCATTGATTTTCCATACCGCCGACCATGTAGAAACACCTCTGCCACATTTCCGAGATGAAAACACACTGCCGGTGGGGTCCAAAAACTTGTCCAAATGGACTTTTGCACAGTGGCTTTTCAGACTGATCGGGTCTCCAATACCACCTGCGCCCAATATTTTCCGCGCCGCAAACCAGTGGGGTTCAAGCCATGTCTCATTTTGCACATTTGGAGAGTTGTGAGCTGAGCGATATTCTTTTCTTTCCAGATGTGCTCGTGTTCGGCCCTAGCTTTCGGAAAAGGACAAAACGAAACGACACGAGTATGCAGCGCAAAAGCCCAACGAATCAGCATGCCAGCCAAAACGAAATGATGCGAGCACGCTGCGCAAAAGGGAAACCCACAAAAAAACAAAAAAAAAAAACAGCCCCAACAGAAACTGTGCCCCACACAGCCGCCCCGGGCCCAACACGGAAAAGGGTCTCATGGGATAGCGTCACGCAAGAACCACTAATTTTGTTAGTAGTAGTAAGGATAAAAAACAGAAGCAGAGGAAAGGATGAGAAACAGGGGGCGGCTTGCTTCGTCTATAGAAATGAGAATGGAAAATTACCACATTTAGTGTACTCGAGGTTTCCACCCCTGCAGTACCCCCCTTTGCTTTGGTAGGCTAACCCTTTCTGCAGTTTGCTTGTATATGGCTGCATTTTTTAGGGATGGGGGTTGGTATCGGTGGATGGGGGGTTTAGCCGCCAGTACATCGCCAGGTAAACTTGAGGATCAAAATCGAGCCAACCTGAAAAATTCAGAGGCCCCAGGCCACCGAACTGAAATGGCTTGCGGCACCAGCCAAAAGGAAAGAAAAAGCGTCATACTGTTTTTTTTTTGGGGCAAAGCTTGGCGCGTAGGGGCAATCCGTCCGGCAAAATGAGACTCAGATGTACAGGCGGTGTAACTAGGGGAGAAGAAAATTAAAAGTAGCAGTATAGTCACCAGGGTGAGGTGTGGTATTGTGGAAGCAGCAGCATAATCCTGTGAAGTGCATAAAGAGAGGGTGCACGTTAACACTAATACTCACTAGGAGTGCCACAACTATCAAGTTAGCAAATTTGCCAATGCATGAGCTGTTGTTCTGCAGGTGTTTCCATGCCCAGCCATTAAACCACCAGCACCTTTCCCTGTTTTTCACAACTACCAAGTTAGCAAATTTGCCAATGCATGAGCTCTTGTTCTGCAGGTGTTTCCATGCCCAGACATTAAACCACCAGCACCTTTCCCTCCTTGGAAAACAAAGTCCCAGCTGGTTTACAGCCACATTTTTCAGGTGTTCAGGTACCAGAACGAAATGGCTGGCGGCGCCAGTCAAAAGCAAGCACGTGTTGTGCAGGCCAAATTTAGGCTCGGCATCAATAGCGGCGGGGTACTGGTGGTTTAAAGGACACCATAAACGTTGTCATTGAGGATCTCGACAATATCAATTATTGTGTCACCAGGGATGCCAGTACCTTGGTGTTGTTGAGCCTTTCTGGAGATGTGACAAGGCATGTCAATGCCTACATGGTCACCCATCCAGATAACAGTCCAGTCAATACGGCAGGTACCATTTATGATGAGCATGCTTGCAGGATCTTAGCAGCAACAAGTCAAAATGCCATCTGTTGAAGGTCTTGGATTGATTGTTTCCAGAAGACAAGATTTTCACGCTGGCAGAGAAAAGAGGGTGGGAGACAAACCCCTTGAACAGCTCTCCCCCCACCCCCTGACCCTGCACACACACGCACACACACACACACACGTCAGGGCAAAACAGAAACACATGTGCAAACAAGTCAAAAATAAAAAAATCTAATAAGAGTGGCACAGAGTACAACCTAAGCGGGTCAAACATGGACACGATGATAGGACTGATGTAGAAAGTGACAGCCGAATGACGATGGGGTGATGACTGGGAGATGCCAGGTCTAATAGGTGGCCTGAGGAACTGCAGGGAGGCCCCTTCCCGCATCCTGCCCCCTCGGAGGGCTACCCTGCTGCGTGAGTAGATGCTGCTAGTAAGCCTCCTGGCCAGCAGGGCAGCCCTCGGAGAAAGGCCATGGTTTGGGGGCGTGGGAATCCCTGTTGCAGCTCCCCCATTTTCAGGCGACTAGTACCACAAGGGCAAGGCTGTTACCCTTTCTCATCTGATCTCCCCCCGCTCTCTGGATATATAAACATGCTTGCCGGTGATAAGCAACCGGACTGCTGCCCCCAGAATAAGAGGGTAATTGTGTTTTGGGGAAAAAAATAAAAATAAAAATACAAGGCTAAGTGAATTCCGCCTCCTGTGTGTCCTCAGCCATTGGAAAAGTTTCATCATCCCTTTTATATGCCTTTTGAGGCTTTTGTACGTCGGAATAGGAACGAAGATCAAGCTTTGGATTTCAAGAGTACTTGAATGCCGATGCGGCTGCAGCACTGTCATAAGAAAAGGTTCCAATTATGGCATAACCGGATTCATGCTCAGCTAGAAAGCGGTTGGGACCAGATGCTGAAAACCCTGTAAGAGACTGTGTGATTGGCAGGCATTGAAGTGTTCACTGCAGATTGCTACGGCTTGTGGCTTTGCAGAATGACAATTCCCATAGCCTTTGAAAAGAGAATTTGCCTACTATAAATGATAGACCGCTACGCTTAGTGTAACGGAATGACAAGTCCCCAAAGCCCTGGAAAAGAGGATTTGCTTCCGGTAAACCGTTGACCCGCGCATCAAGGTTGGACAAATTTACTCTCTCTCTCTCTCTCTCTCTCTCTCTCTCTCTCAAGCTCATGGGTGACTCCTCAAGAGCATCTCAGCACCTTGTACAGACAGGAACCAATACAAGAGAGTGCATTTCTCACTCGAGTAGAATCTAGGATGAGGCAATGAGGATAAGTCATCACTGCTGCTTTTTGATGCCTGCTAGCTTTCTGTCAAACTTCTCTCAACAATGATAAGCCATTGCTTCTCCAGGTATTATTCAGAAACTGCCAAAAGAACTGGGAATCTCTCCACTGCTCCAACCACGAAGGAAAAGATCTAGTTGCAAAAAAGTGTGCAACTATCCTGAGCTAATTATTTATAGACAACGCAGTCGACACACTCAAAAATGTTTACCACTGCTACAGCGCGTCACATCTCTGTCAAACTAGTCCTCAGATAACCTATCAATAACCTTGATATTAATCTGCCCACACCACGCATAAATGCCACAAATTGTCTCTGTTCTCTCTTCCCTACTACTCTTGCATCCGCCCCTCCCAGTTCTCGCAATGTCAGATGCTATCTTTCTCCTCACGATTGGGTTACAGCCATCATGCAATCGTTAACCATTTCCCACCTGATGGTACACCCACTAAGCACTGTAAGCAGTGATCGATCCTGAGAAGTGGGATCCCAGCCAACTTTGAAGTGTTTGCCAGTGCACAAAGGCTGCTGCCTGCAACAACCATCATGGAAATCAGCAACAACGCCGCAGCTTGACCTCTCTTGGAATTCTCTCTGGAAATTGGTATCCATGAACTTCCCCAGCTGCTGCACTTTCTTGGCTCGCAAGAGACCGAAAAAGAAGCCTGAACATCGCAGCATAGCCAGGCGCTCAGCTTCATGGCGGCTTCCACCATGCGTCTAATAAGGTAGAAACTATTGCTACAAATCTTGGCAGTGCAACTATTCAAAAGCCAAAACTTGGCCGCAGCCGTACTAACAGCCAAATGGAGCAATTTCAATTTCCTCCAGTTGCTCTCGACTGTAAACCACTGGTACCTCCGATTCCTCTTTTTCCTGAATCGGATTTCCCCTGCATGCCAAAAGAAAACAAATCGGAGCAGGCATCTTTTCCCTTTCTTTTTCTGGCTGGAGCCGCCAGCCATTTTGTCCCGTAGCACTGCTCATCAAAAAATTGTGGCGGTGTACCAACTCGTCGGAAAGCTTTGCCTGCCAAAGTTACACAGGTACCCCCAAGCCTCTCGTCTCAAACCAGTCGGAAAGCTTTGCTGCTCCTCTTTCACACACACCTTTCTGGTATCGACTCTTCCCTTCAGAAGCCTCCACAAGAACTCTTCTCTTCAAGCGTGTCTCGATCAGACAGCCACAGTCCATAGATCATCATCATTTTGAATCACCACAACAAACACAGATGAGCAGAGAGGCATCCTCAGGCCTTACTCATGCTGGCTCTACCTTCATTGTATTTGACCGCATTCACCGCCGGAGCTGTACGAATCCGACAGCAATTACGTTCGTAAATAAGTAATGAAGTCTCAGTGTGAATATACCCTAAGCACACGACTTACCACATGAAGCAGCAAACAGACCTGCATGGTTGAGGATGCCTGCCCCTCCCTTCCTGCTTGTTCCCTTGATGAGCCTTTTTGTTGCTACAGGAACTTCACAACAATACATGCCAATTTGGAGAGGCCAACTGTACTTCCTTGTTAATACCCTCTTAATTGGAGTTGACAGCCAACTGTCAAAACATAACTAAGAGGTGACACATTGGGCCTTGATCAACTACAGTGACTACACAACACTCTACATGTATCCGGAGGTAATAATCTTCCCGACACATTTGAAACATTCGGCTCCACCGAGAATGCCCCTGGTCCAGAAAGGCATCCAAATGCATGTAGAACGTTGAGCAGCAGAGTGAGGCACATACCATTTGGAACCCGAGAATAACCGTCTGCTTTGTGCTGGGAGAGAATCATCATCTGATGGGATGACAGTTGCCCTCACAAATGATAGAATTGCGTGCGTGCTCAAGAGCCTCAACGAGGTGGTAGAGTAATGACAGTACACCCTCAGGAGGAGGATATGCAAAGTTCCAAATGGTATCAACGAAGGCCCACGGCCTACGTGGGCCCAATCCCGCACACAGGATTTACAAGAAACACGAGGGTCGATCCTCACTGCCGATGACTTACCGTTGAAGACCAGAGAAGAGAACATTTTCATGATCTATAACCACACAAGTCAACTTCCCCACAAGTTGAGAGTGTACCGTTAACTCTGGGGAACTGAACTTTCTTCTTTGCGTTCCCAGTCCTGAGTCTACATGCAGAGGATGTGCCGAGAAGCCTGCAGCTGAGAACCTACACGAGAGGGACCTGCAAAACTCTCTGCTGCAGTTTCAAGCACTGTGATGTCAACATCATCAGGAGCCCTATTGAATGAAAAAACTCGAGAAGCATTCCCATGACAACTGGGTTGCTTTCTTCAGAACTCTGCCGTGGCACACAACGGCTATGAAAATCCTGTCGCATTGGGCGACAGGGTGTTGCATGACTCACAATAAGCTTTGTCTTGTCACTCATGTGCAAGGACAGTCCCCATTATTTTTTTCCCTTGAAGAAGCAGGAACTTGAGTAGAATTACTTTCCCATGGGTCCGCGACAAAGGAGCACCAGCAAGGACTCCTGATGTTCTCCATCAGCAACGCCTGCATCCTCATGATGAGACAGACCATCATCAATGCTTCATTACCATTATTTCAAGTTGCTTTGAGAATGGCTGCGAGCAATTGAACTGCCAGGGTTTTCGTCCCCAGAGGACAAATGTACGGGAGGTGCTGTAAATTGCCCCGTACTAGCATTCCTCACAATCGGGGTCTCACCGATCTGCGAATTTGCACCCTCACCATCCAGGGAGATGTTCCCTCGCCTCGATCCATCCCTTGATGGTGGTCTGGACTGCACTGCATCACGACCCGGTGTTGAAAACGGCGACAAATCGATACCCATTGAGACCTTGTTGTGAGTTGGCGAGTTTGGGTAAGACGAGGCATCCAACACAGTTCCAACATTGACAATGGATGGCGAGAGCTCTGAGTACGATTTGCTGTGAGACCTTTTGAAATCATCGTCTGGGGATGTTGTCGCGGCCCTTGCGGCACTTTTGCTTGGCGTCTTCTCTATGCCATGACCTGCTGCCTGTGGTGCCTGCATCTGCCCCTGGGATTCCTTCAAGAGGAAATCGATCCACAGATCAGAGAACGACTGGATAAAGCCAACAAACATGAAACACAAAAACAAAACAGTCAATTACAATTACAGAATTGGTTGCGAAACCTGAAACATTCTGGC